GGCATGAGTCTGCTGGGTGTGTAGTATAGGGGGGTGGATTATGTATTGCCCATGTGTGGTTTGTGTATGTGTGAACTGGGTGGTTTGTGGGTCTTCCAGGGCACATGCATGCTCCGCCCTTTATTCATTCAGGCTGTAGGAAAACCAGGTTCCAGGGCCCGCTCTGTTCAAGCCAGGGCTTGGGCCCAGTGTTTGAGGAAGTATGAGCTGCCCGTCCTTTCAGTAGAAGCCCCTTGGTGGGCAAAATGGCCATAACAGCTGACTTTGTGGAGTCAATCCAGGGGACCCAAGGCCTGATGATCAATTTCCAGTGGGGTGTTATTCCACTCAGGTGGGTCAGGGGAGAAGGCAGGAGAGAGAGGGAGCTGGGGAACCGTGGCTGCTTGCAGCCAGCCCTCGCAGAGCTGCCCCTGCCAGGCCCCAGGCTGTCTGGACCTCCTGACCAGAGCCAAACCCTGCTGGAGCCTTCTAGGGGAGTTGGGGAGCCCGACCCAGAGATGCAAAGGAAACACTGTGCTCCAGTGGAGGGACGCTACGCAGCGTGGGATGCCTGTGTCGGTCCCAGTGACTAAGCAGCCTCCTTGTCAAAGGCACCGCCAAGGGACCCGAAGGAGGGAGGCTGAACTGAGTTACAGGCTGCCCAGCAAGTGGGCACATGGCCTCTACTGCTTAAATAAATAAATAAGGAGACTCCCTAGTTAAGTCCAATGTATCACTGTACTTGCTTTTCATTGGCCAGAAATTAGCCACATGGACACACTCCTCTGGGGACTGTTATTGGTGTAAGTCCCCTTGAAAGCCTTGGGTAAACTGAGCACAAGAAGCATCTAAACATATGCATCTGGTAGCAGATCTTGGGCCCTGGAGAGGCCCCACCTTAGCCATCGGGGAGTCTCTGTCTTTGCCAAAATCACCCACTAATAAGTGAACGACTCAGGATTTGAAACCGGCACCAGCCTGTCTTTACAGCTCACACTCTTAGAGGCTATACCACACTGTTACCTTGAGTTCCAGTTCTGGCCTGACCCTTACTAACCATGTGACCCTACGAATGTCCTCTGAGCTTCAGTTTCTCTACCTATAGAACAAGAGTAATAATAACACCCACCTCAGAAAGGTGTTGCAAGGCAGATAATATATGCAAATAGATAAAGACAATGTATGTAGCAGATCACGAAATTACAGATCTGAATCTGTTTAACAGATTCAGTTGAATTCACAAGAAAGAGACTGGGCCCCGCTGCCACCTCTATGTTGTCATGGACCTTGCTGATAGACAAGTGCATTCTGCAGTAGGTGAGGGACCTAGGGGCCCCTGGAAAAGTCATTCTGGAGCGATACCCAGAGTTCTCATCTCCAGGATATTCACAGAGCATCTGGTGAAGGCTGCTCCTCATCTTCTGTCTCTGGCCCAAAGCCCCTGGCCCCATCGCTGTCAGCTGCTCCAGAGAGGAGCAGAATGAAGAAGGAGGTTGCCCATTGCCATGGAAACCAAGGCTAGAGCCCAGCACCCTGCAGCTCCTGGGCACAGAGTGGATATATGCCTCTGGATTCCAAGTCCCCAGACGCTCCTCCCACCCAGTGTATGTGTGCCTACATGTACACACACACACACACACACACACACACACACTCCCAGCACCCAATGGCTGAACTAGTGAACCAGCAGCCATTCAACTGAGCTCTCTCCCAGGGGGCCAGGTTTCTCCAGGTGGTAAAAGACCAGCTCTCTGGCCAGAGAAGCCGGTTCTTCTGTCAAGGACATCAAAAGCAAGACTGATCAGAAGGGGCTAAGACAGGCCACTGGGGACACTTGGCTGTCACATTCAGGAAACCACCTACCCAGGCCAGTGCATGGAGGAGCTTACCTGGCCACACATGGAAGCCACGTGCCAGCAGATACTCTGGCCCTTCTAGAGGCAAATGAGTTTTGCGACTCCCAGTGTAACCAGTGATCCAGGCAAGGACCATCAATGGAGGCAGCGGCACGTTCACAAGTCTAACAATATCACCAGAGATTACTTATTTCTTACAAAAGGGAAAAGGTACTTCAACGAAGAAATCCAGCAGACGCCACGTGATCAAACGTAGGGTCACCAAAAAATAGGACAAGCTGACATGACGTGCCTCCTTGGGTAACGCAATAATAAGTGCAAGACATCTTCTATTTAGTATTCTCACCAAAAAAGTAAGGGCTGAATCAAATCATAAGGAAACAATCAGACATTCAGGTTGCCGGGAGTTTTACAAGACATCTGATACGGACTCCAAAAATGTCAATTACAAGAAAGACCAAAAGACTAGATTAAAAGAGACTAAAGAGACATGACAATTAAATGCAATGCACGGTCCTTAACTGGCTCCTGAATGGGGAAAAACCAGCTATAACTGACATTTTTGGAACAATTGGGGAAATGTAAATATGAGCAGAACGTTAGATAACATTATTAGATCCGTGTTAAAGTCCTTGGGTATGATAATTATATCATTATGGTTATGGAGGAGAAGATCCTTGTTCATAGAAGACATATGCTGATTATTTAGGGATGGAGAATCGGATGTTGCAATTCACTTTCAGATAATCAGAAGAAAAGAAAGGAGAGAAAGTCAAAGCGGCCACATTCACAATGGGTGCGCCCATGTGAAGGGTACACAGGTGTTTGATGGACTGCTCTTTCAACTTTTCTGAGGTTTGAAATGTTCAGAATTTCAAAATAAAAGAGGAAAAGACTCTTCAAAAAAGGAGTCAAATGGTTCAAATCCCTGGCAGTTTTTGGGGGGCATGTCAGCCGCAAAAGAGGGGAGCCTCTTTCATTTTTTTCTATTCACCTGGTTCTTCTGCTTTGCCCTGTTCTGTCTGAGATCCCTCCCCTGGCTTTCGACAGGGGAACCTAAAACCCCCAGAGCACTTCATGGTGAGGAGCCCTCACTGACCGATTGGCGATGGAGGAGGTTGACGGAGAAAATGCAGCCTTTGGCATCCTCTTCTCGAAACTACCTTGGTCTCGTCACTCACCCCGTTGCAACCCACCACCACCACGCGGCTGGACTCTGCCTACTTGGCTCCCTCCGCCCTTCTCTCTCCTCTCCTCCCTCTGCTTGTTCTTCTCTGCCCTGGGATCTCACTAGCTCTTTGAAATCTCCTTCTGCCAGTGTTTCAAGGACGGCACAACTGGCTAAACTAAGAAGGCACCTGCATAACTTTGGAACCCAAGTTCCTCTTGCTATAGCCCCATTTTAGTCTTTTTTATTCTGTTTTGAGATGGAGTCTCGCTCTGTCACCTACACAGCAGTGCAGTGGCATAATCATGACTCACTGCAACCTCCACCTCCCGAATTCAAGTGATTCTCCTGCCTCAGCCTCCTGAGTAGCTGGGACTACAGGCACATACCACCATGCCAGGCTGATTTTTATATTTTTAGTAGAGACAGGGTTTCGCTGGTCGTGAACTCCTGGTCTCAAGTGATCCACTCACCTTGGCCTCCCAAAATGTTGGGATTACAGGCATGAGCCACTGCGCCCAGCCCACAGTCTTCCATACTCTAAACCTCACTCTTTAAGAAAACACAAGGTGGCTGGGTATGGTGCCTCATACCTGTAATCCCAGCACTTTGGGAGGCTAAGGAAGGTGGATCACCTGAAGTCAGGAGTTCGAGACCAACTTGGGCAACATGGCAAAACCCGGTCTCTATAAAAAATACAAAAATTAGCCTAGCATGGTGGTGCACACCTGTAGTCTCAGCTACTCAGGAGGCTGAGGCAGGAGAATCACTTGAACCTGGGAGGTGGAGGTTGCAGTGAGCCAAGATCATACCACTGCACTCCAGCCTGGGTAACAAAGCAAGACTCTGCCTCAAAAAGGGAAGGGAAGGGGAGGGAAGAGAAGTGGAGGGGATGGGAGGGAAGGGAAGAGAAGGGGAGGGGAGGGAAAGGAACACAAGGCCTCCATCCACTATCAGTAATAACAGCTACGTTGGGGGCATTGACCATGCACTTCGAATACGTCATCTCTAACACTTGCGAATGTGCCACATGAGAGGGACACTAAGGAATGTGAGATTCAGGATGGCTGATGAGCCAGCGCCAAGCCCATAGCTATGAAGCTGATACTGCAGACAGAGGGGGAAGGGAATGGGGGAGGGGAGCAGAGGAGGGGTGAAAAATTACCTGTTGGGCCTACAGTGTACACTATTCAGGTGACACATACACCAAAAGCCCAGACGTTACTACTCTCATCCATGTAACCAAAATCCATTTATACCCCTAAACCTATTAAATTCAATTGACTTTGTTTTTAAAGTGGAGATGGCGCCTGATCATGGCCTTTTTAGACGCTTCCCAGCTCTGCCAAAGACTGTTTCATAAGCAGAGGTCGCACAAGCTGCCAAAGGCTACACAGCTACCCAGATGGACAGAGTGGGGGCTGACCCGAGGACAGGCCCTGAGGGCTGGGCGGGGACTAAAGAGATGGGAATGGGCCAGGTGCAGTGGCTCAAGCCTGGAGTGCCAGGAGACCAAGGTGAGCAGATCACCTGAGGTCAGGAGTTTGAGTCCAGCCTGGCCAACATGGTGAAACCCCGTCTCTACTAAAAATACAAAAATTAGCTGAGTGTGGTGGCGCATGCCTGTAATCCCAGCTACTTGGGAAGCTGAGGCAGGAGAATCGCTTGAACCTGGGAGGCGGAGGTTGCAGTGAACTCAGATCATGCCGCTGCACTCCAGCCTAGGTGACAGAGCAAGACTCCGTCTCAAAAATAAAAATAAAGAGAGAGAGAGATGAAGATGGTAAAGTTGGGAGGAGACTAAAGAGACGGTGATGATGGGGCTGGAGGGGATTAAAGAGATGGTGATGGTGGGGCTGGGGGGCATTAAAGAGATGGTGATGGTGGTGCTGGGGGGCATTAAAGAGATGGTGATGTGGGACTGGGGGTATTAAAGAGATGGTGATGTGGGGCTGGGGGGTATTAAAGAGATGGTGATGTGGGGCTGGGGGGTATTAAAGAGATGGTGATGTGGGGCTGGGGGTATTAAAGAGATGGTGATGTGGGGCTGGGGGGTATTAAAGAGATGGTGATGTGGGGTTTGGGGGGTATTAAAGAGATGGTGATGTGGGGCTTGGGGGATATTAAAGAGATGGTAATGTGGGGTTTAGGGGGGTATTAAAGAGATGGTGATGGTATGGGCCAGGCAGGAGTTGAAGCATAAACATCTGAGACAATGGCTCGGCTCAGCGCCCCCCACTCCGCAATGTGGATATTGGACAGCACATCAGGAAGGTACTGGAGTGCCTCCTCCCAAAGTGGGAAGGGCCCCTCTCCACAACCTCCTCCATCATCTCCCAGCTCACCAGCCTTCCCCAGAGATTCAAGCCACCTCTACTTCCTCCTGGCTCCAAGCAAGTCGGGAGACCCAAGGGAAATAAACTTGAAAAGAGACTGGAAATGTAATCAAAAGTAGCCACGATGAACTGTGTGCTGGAAACCAGGAAGCAATTGGTGAACAGCAGCGGAGGGCTGAGCCTGGAAAACCAGAAGGGAGGTGGAGAGGGCAGAGGCGAAGGGGAGAGAGGAAGAGAGGGTGGGGAGAGGCAGCTCAGCCACACAGTCAGGGTGCAGAGGCTGCCCCACAGAAGAACCCCAGGCAGGGGCTCCTGGGAAACTGGAAAGAGATGATCTCTAGATCATTTCTTCTGAAATGTAAATAAAGCTCCCTTCAGTCTGGGGACTTCTGAGGAAGGTGAGAGGAGAAGCTGAGAACAGAGAGAAAGGCAGAGCGGGGGAGAGGAACACTCTGGAACACTCTTTCATGCCTCCTCTAACTGAATACGTAATCTCTAGGGGAAGACGGTGTTATGCCCATTTTGCAAGTAAGAAAACTGAGCTCAGAAAGGTAGAGTCCTCTGCCCAAAGTCACATCGGGAAAAAGCCATTGGCTCCAAAACCCTAGGCTGGGCCAACGTGAGGGTCCATTTGGAGGTTATTATCAGAGTGGGAGCCCCTCAAGCTCTCAGCACCAAGACAGTGTCTCGAAGCAGGAGACAGAGGACTTCCTGAGGCCACATATTGAATCCAACAGCCAGGTCCCAGCAAGCGGGAGCATGGGAGGGAAACAGACCCAGAGACATGGGGTCAGAGGGAGGCAGGGGGACCTCACTCAGAAGCCTCCTTCCTGGCCCTCTCACCAGCCCCAGGAAGTGGACTTCAGGCAGGAACAGAGCATGCCCAGAAGACAACATAAAATAAATAGATCAGTAAGAGGAACACGGACTGGCCACACTTTCTCTATGGGGTCTCAAAACAGCAGGGCACCTCAGTGACCACTGTGATTGCCTTTGGGTACAGCAGACCTGGGTCTGACACTCAATTCTGCCACTTCATGTTTGACTGTGGGGTCAGTCGCTTAACCTTTCTGAGCCTCAGTTTCCCCTTGTATAAGATGGAGATTATGATCATCCTCATGGAGTTCTCAGGAGCATTCGTGGAAGGAATGGTGCCAGCACCACCGGCCATCTACAAACCCACTCCTGTTACTGTATTATGCAAATGTATATTGAATGCGATAGAAGCCACCCTTCCAGATGAGCCCCATAGTGAATCCTTTCACAAACCAGCTTTCCTAATGTCCCTGTTTTGAAGGCCTGGAGGCTTGTAACTGGGGTATAAATTGATGCACTGTGAATTTTCATCCCTCACTTCCCTGTCTGCCCACTTGACCTGTAGTTTTCATCTTGGGCTCCTGTTCCTCCACCTGACTCATTCCTCTAGAATTCCATGCTCATTTCTAAAATCCACAGGAGAAGATACACAGAAGGTGAGCAGCCCGAGAGCTACCCGGCCTTTCTGGGTCTGGCATCTAAAGGGGAGCAGAGGCCGGGCACTGTGGCTCACAACAGTAATCCCAGACCTTTGGAAAGCCAAGGCAGGCAGATTACCTGAGCTCAGGAGTTCAAGACCAGTGTGGCAAAAACAACCCCCATACCTCACCATCTTCAGTGACTTAGGTCAGCTTCCCCAGCAGACAAACTCCGAGGGTCAGGTTTGCATAAAGGAGGCTTAGCGTGGAGAACTCATCTGCAGCCATGTTAGGTGGCTGAGAGGAAGCAGGATTAGGCAGAGAGAGATGCTGGACTGTGATGCAGCTGCCACAGAGGCCTCTGCCAATTCTGCAGGGAGATCCAGAGCTGGACCGACCCTTCGAAGCTGTCTCAAATCAAGCTAAAGGAGTCAGAACTGTGTGCCCCTTCCTGGACCAGTCACTGGATCTGGGCTGCCCTTGAGGAGGGGGCATAATCTTAAGTGAGACAACTCCCTTCAGCAGAGGGCAATTCTGGGGGAGGGACTTCGCCATGAGCCATCAGCGGCCAGCACTCCCAGCACTCCAGTAGTGGGAGAATGAGCGCCTTGGTCCTCAGCAGATCTGTGTGGGGCATGTGTCATTCATTACAGCCACCCCTCGTTCTGCTGGGATCCACTTGCTTCATAGAGTGGGTCTGTCCATCCAGGGACCATTTTTTCAGGATTTTGGGTGGTCTCTTTCCCTGAAAAAAAACACACAAGAAGATGCTAGTTGGTTGCGCTATAGCTTCATTGCCGCTACACTGAAGCTGTAACTGGGACCCACTGTTTCCCTCCTCTACTGTCCATCCCACATTCCCCGCAGCCTCCGTAAGCACCTCTGCTGATCCAGAGTTCGCCTAGTGGGATGACCCAGACCCTCATCCCTCACAGGTCTGGCTCCTCCCTGGTCACTATGCTCTTCCCAGTTCATGGCTGCCTTCCTTACCCATTTACTGTCAAAAACAGGCAAAGGGGTAACAAAAGACAGGTCAACAGATCATGTGGGTGCCAAAACTGATCTTCCCTGCCTCCACTGTGTCACAGCAATCCTACCTTCTCCTGCCAGCTGATCAGGGACAGTAATTCCTGCCAGTACTGCGACCCCTTCCCTCATCTCATGGCCTTTGGGTCCAAGGAATCTGAAATGGTCAGGTGGCGGAAGTGCGTTAAAGTTCAGGGGAACTCTTACTCTATACCCTGATAAAAGTGTCCTCCATCTGGGAACCAGAGCAGACCTTATACACATAGAGCTGAAAGTTGCAGGGACAGGCGATGAGTTTCCTAAATGAGTCACTGAGAATTACAGTAAGTGATGCCTCCGTTACTTTCACCCCTTAGCTTCCAGACCATGCATTTTACCTACTGCAGACACAACACCATAGAATAGTATGGTCAGTGGTGCCCACTGGCTCATGCCTGTAATCCCAGCACTTTGGGAGGCTGAGGCGGGTGGATCACCTGAGGTCGGGAGTTCAAGACCAGCCTGACCAACATGGAGAAACCCCAGCTCTACTAGAAATACAACATTAGCCAGGAGTGGTGGCGCATGCCTGTAATCCCAGCTGCTTGGGAGGCTGAGGCAGGAGAATTTCTTGAACCCAGGAGATGGAGATTGCAGTAGCCAAGATCACGCCATTGCACTCCAGCCTGGGCAACCAGAGCGAAGCTCTGTCTCAAAAAAAAAAGTATGTTCATTCATTTGGGGTGTGCTCTGTATTCTGGGGGATGACTCCCCATGCTCACAGGGTGTCATGTCAAAGCTGTCTCTATCAGGCTGAGCAGGGGCTCCAGCTCTATCAAGACCCAGAAGCACACTAAAGCTATTTTTCTAATAGCGCATGATTTTCCACTACAGATGGCATGGCCTTGTTCCAGAACTCTAGGGATCTATGTTGTTATTCTCCTATTGGGGCTTGCCACAAACTCGTAGCATCTTTTCTCACCACAGATATGTCTGCTATCAGCGTCTGCTGGGTCACATGACCCCAGCCGTGGGACTGCTTGTACCACAGCCTGGAGCTGCTGCAGAACCCTTTCCTGCCTTGGGTCCCTCTCACTGCTGGCAGCCGTCCTCGGCACTTGGCAAAATGGGTTGCCAGTATTTGCCAAGCAAGGAATATATCGCTTAAGAACCCAAAAAAGGCCTGTGAGATGTTTTGTTTCCTTCCGGCGTGTGGGAGGTGCAAGAAGCAACAACTTACGGTTTCTTTTGGAGGAAATTCCTGGTGTGCCCCAAACCAAACCACTGTAGTAAAAACTTCACTCATTTGCAGTCCCCACCTTCTGAAGCATGTCTGTCTCATCGAGGCTTTCAAATTACTTGCCAATTCTTGCCCATCCAGACTAATTAACATGACGTCATTGATATAATGGGCCAATGTGTCCCATTGATATAATGGACCAGTATGGACTGGGTGCAGTGGCTCATGCCTATAATCCTAACACTTTGGGAGGTGGAGGTGAAAGAATTGTTTTAGCCCAAGAGTTTGAGACCAGCCTGGGCAACATAGCAAGACCCCGTCTCTACAAGAAACAAAAAATTAGTTGGGCATGGTGGCACACACCTATAGTCCCAGCTACTCAGTAGGCTGAGGTGGGAGGATCACTTGAGGGCAGAAGGTCAGGGCTGCAGTGAGCTGTGTTCACACCACAGCACCCCAGCCTGGATGACAAAGAGAGAGCTTGTCTCAAAATAATAATAATAATGGATCAGTGGCATGACGTCCTGTGGTGGCATGACGGGGGGTTCTGGATCCCTGCAGTCTAAAGTTTCTCCTCCTTGGCACTAATCACACTTTGGACCAGATAATTCTTTGTTGTGGGGGCTTCCCCGTGCGCATCCCTGACCTCCACCCACTACATGCCAACAGCATGCCCCCTCCCATGTGACAACCAGAAACATCTCCAGACATTGCCAAATGCCCCAGTGGAGAACCAGTTGTACACTCTATTATGAGAGAGAGTGGCAAAGAACATGCATAGGCAGAACTGTGTGTGAATGCTGTTCTCCATCCTGCGGGAATGCAGACTGCTTCCAATTACCCCTTCTACTAGAAACAGAAGAAGGCACTGCCAGATCAACAGCCACGGGCCGTGTACCTAAGGATGTGTGGATCTACCCCAGCAGAGTCACTGACGGGCCGTGTACCTAAGGATGTGTGGATCTACCCTAGCAGAGTCACTGACGGGCCGTGTACCTAAGGATGTGTGGATCTACCCCAGCAGAGTCACTGACGGGCCGTGTACCTAAGGATGTGTGGATCTACCCCAGCAGAGTCACTGACGGGCCGTGTACCTAAGGATGTGTGGATCTACCCCAGCAGAGTCACTGACGGGCCGTGTACCTAAGGATGTGTGGATCTACCCCAGCAGAGTCACTGACGGGCCGTGTACCTAAGGATGTGTGGATCTACCCCAGCAGAGTCACTGACGGGCCGTGTACCTAAGGATGTGTGGATCTACCCCAGCAGAGTCACTGACGGGCCGTGTACCTAAGGATGTGTGGATCTACCCCAGCAGAGTCACTGACGGGCCGTGTACCTAAGGATGTGTGGATCTACCCCAGCAGAGTCACTGACGGGCCGTGTACCTAAGGATGTGTGGATCTACCCCAGCAGAGTCACTGACGGGCCGTGTACCTAAGGATGTGTGGATCTACCCTAGCAGAGTCACTGACGGGCCGTGTACCTAAGGATGTGTGGATCTACCCTAGCAGAGTCACTGACGGGCCGTGTACCTAAGGATGTGTGGATCTACCCTAGCAGAGTCACTGACGGGCCGTGTACCTAAGGATGTGTGGATCTACCCTAGCAGAGTCACTGTATGTAGCACTGCAGTTGCAGGTGAGACTGCTGCTTGGTTGTACTGATGAAAGGCTACTCTTGGCCGGGCGCAGTGGCTCATGCCTATAATCCCAGCACCTTGGGAGGCTAAGGCAGGCAGATCACTTGGGGTCGGGAGTTCGAGACCAGCCTGGTCAACATGGTGAAACTCTGTCTCTACTAAAAATACAAAAACTAGCTGGGCATGGTGGCATATGCCTGTAGTCCCAGCTACTCAGGAGGCTGAGGCAGGAGAATCACTTGAACCCTGGAGGTGGAGGTTACAGTGAGCTGAGATGGTGCCACTGCAATCCAGCCTGGGTGACAGAGCAAGACTCTGTCTCAAAAAAAAAAAAAAATCTACTACCATCTTCTAGAATTCATCTGAGCTTTGTTCTTGGTGTCGTTTGTTATAGGGACCAAGCTAGTGAACTGGATGAGGATGAGATGAGGACCACCACTCACGCATCTTGGGTCTTTAAAGGTCATGCTAATTTCTGCCGTTTCCCCTGAACGGTGATGCTGGGGTTTTTTGTTTGTTTTGTTTGTTACTTGATCAGGTTGGATGACAGTTTCAGAGACTTCCATTTAGGCTTCTCCACCACAATAGCTTTTAGCCCAAAGGCCAAGGAACAGGCTGTGAATTCTGCCAATCATGTGTGCCCATCCCAGTTATAAATTCTGGAACTAAGGACCTGGGTGGGTTCATGGACTCAGTGTATACAGTGTGGTCAAGGCGCAGACCAGGATTCTATTGATTTTCTGGGTCGCATCTGCTCCTACCCTAAGAGGAGGTCATGATGACACTTGGATCCCCACATATCAACACATCATTTTGAACCCTGTAGCCAGTAATCTTAGAAACATCTGGTTATTCCTTTCACCAGGGTACAGTAACTCAAACAAAAGGTTCTTTCTGCAGAGGAACGGGATGGCTGCTACCATGTACATTTGCCGTGTGTGGCAGGCTGCTTCTTGGGGATCAAGTCTCTCCTTCATTGAATGGGTTCTGGGTCCGAGCTCTAGCTCCATAAGGGATCGTCAGCTATCACTGAAGCAGCAGCTTCAGCCATCCTTGAATTCTTCTGGCTGTATAAATTACATAATACTCTTCTTGGCTGCCTGTTTATCTTGCCCCTGGGAGCGCCGTGTTCTGGGAGCCATTTTTATAGCTCTCTGCAGGCTCCCTGCTTGCCACTCTGAACTTGCTGCTCATTATGATAATTCTGCCCACCTTGCTCGTGATGCTTCACTTCCACCACTGAGCCTCTATTCTTTCAGGATCCCATCTTCCTTATTGCTCTCAGGGAGCCCAGTCTGTCACGGCACCTCCTCCTGGTTTACAGAGGACAGCACCATTGAGCTTTTCAACCATGCCCTCAGCCTCATCTCTGTGCATGGTTAATGGACAGATCCTCCGGCTTCCCCAAAGAACACAGTTAGCAAGTCACTTTCCTGGCTTTATGTAGTTATCCATTCTAGGACACCCACTCCCCTGGGTCTTTTTTTTTTTTTTTTTTTTTGAGACAGAGGCTCGCTCTGTAGCCCAGGCTGGAGTGCATGATCTCACCTCACTGCACTCACTGCAACCTCCACCTCCCAGGCTCAAGCAATCCTCCCACCTCAGCCTCGTTGGTAGCTGTGACTACAGGTGCATGCCACTATGCACAGCTAATTGTTTTTAATTTTTGTAGGGACGGGGGTCTCACCATGTTGCCCAGACTGGTCTCAAACTCCTGGGCTCAAGCAGTCTTCCCACCTCCCCTTCCCAAACTGCTGACATTACAGGCATGAACCACCTCACCCCGCTTCTCTGAGTCTTTTGATTTCATCTTCCACCACCTGCCACAGAAGTTCTGGCACTTCTACTTCATCTGGTATGAGCCCTTGCTTTTTCCAAGCTCCCAACAGCCATCCTAACAGCGAGTTAGCCCCATCTCCTCCCATCTCCTGGGGGCCTTGCCAGGAGGTTAAATCCTGTATCCTCAGAGGTGGCTCCGTTGTTGCTGGACTCCCCCTGCCCAACTTCCTCTTCCCTTGCCTTCGATCCCAGCACCCTCATGATCCAGTCCCATCCAACCTCTTCTGACGTCTGCCAGTGAGCGCGGGCTGCGCCATGCAGCCTCTATGGCATGTTCTCCCTTTCTTCCCTTAGTATAACTGAATTCTGCTGTAACTTGACTCTAGATTCTGGTCTGGGGGACAGAAAAGGAGGCGGCACAGATGGGCTTGCAGTCCAGAGGCCTCTGCATCAGCTTCAAGCAAGGGAAGAGTGCTTGCCTTTAACAAGGAGTGAGCTGGCTGGGCTTGGTGACTCACGCCTGTAATCCCAGCACTTTGGGAGGCCGAGGTCAAGAGATCAAGACAATCCTGGCCAACATGGTGAAAACCAGCCTCTACTATAAATGTAAAAATTAGCTAGGCGTGGTGGCACATGCCTGTAGGTCCCAGCTACCCAGGAGGCTGAGGTAGGAGAATCGCTTGAACTCGGGAGGTGGAGGTTACAGTGAGCGGAGATCGCGCCACTGCACTCCAACCTGGCAACAGAGTGAGATTCTGTCTCAAAAAAAAAAAAAGAAAAAAAGAAAAGAAAAAGAAAAAAACAAGGAGTAAGCCACCTGCAGGCCCAGAGGGTTTCAGAGAATTTAGGAATTCAAGATTTTCCAGTACAAGACCCCAGGTGTCCCCATCCGTATGTCATATATGAGCATCGCTCTTTCCAGTCAAGGCTCTGACCTTGGAGTAGCAGACTCCCCAGAGTCAAGAATTCAGCCTTCTCTGTGGCTCCACTTGTATTTAAGTTCTGGGTCTGATCCTCAGCTTTTTCTGTCCTTGAGCTGCAGGAAATGAGAGTCTCTTGAAATGAGAGTCTCCCTCCTCCGCTGCCAAGGAGGGCCTCTGGATCTCACACTCCACTTAAATCGGTGATTAATCACCCTAGCTTTATGGTCTTCCTCCAATGCATTAGAAGCCCCCCAGCAATCGCTATCTGGTTTTTTTTTCCATTTTTATTTTTATTTTTTGAGACAGGGTCTTGCTCTGTCACTCAGGCTGGAGTGCAGTGGTATGCTCATCACTCACTACAACCTTGACCTCTTGGGCTCAAGCCATCCTCCCTCCTCAGCCTCCTGAGTAGCTGGGACTACAGATACACGCCACCACCTTGGCACTATTCACATTTTGGGCCACATAATCATTTGTTGTAAGGGCTGTCCTGTGCCTCGTAGAATTTTTTTTTTTCAGACAGAGTATCCCTCTGTCATCCAGGCTGGAGTGTAATGGCGCAGTCTCCACTCACTGCAACCTCCACCTCCTGGGTTCAAGCAATCCTCCTGCCTCAGCCTCCCAAGTAGCTGGGATTACAGGCACCCACCACCACACCCAGCCAATTTTTGTTTTTTTGTTTTTTGTCTTTTGTTTTTTTGAGACAGAGTTTCGCTCTTGTTACCCAGGCTGGAGTACAATGGCACGATCTCGGCTCACCGCAACCTCCGCCTCCCAGGTTCAAGCAATTCTCCTGCCTCAGCCTCCTGAGTAGCTGGGATTACAGGCACATGCCACCATGCCCAGCTAGTTTTTGTATTTTTAGTAGAGACAGGGTTTCACCAAGTTGGCCAGGCTGGGCTCGATCTCCTGACCTCAGGTGATCCACCCAGCTCACCTCCCAAAGTGCTGGGATTACAGACATGAGCCACCGCACCTGCCATGTTGTAGGAATTTTAACTGCATCCCTGACCTCTACCTCCTAGGTCAATAGCAACGCCATCTCTCTCCCCCGCACAATTATGACAGCCAGGACCGTCTCCAGACATTCTTGGCTGGTTTTTTGTTTGTTTGGTTGGTTTGGTTTGGGTGTTTGTTTGTTTGTTTGTAGAGAAAGGACCTTGCTAGGATGCCCAGGCTGGTCCTGAACTCCTACCCTCAAACGATCCTCCTGCCGTGGCCTCCCAAAATGCCAGGATTACAGAGGGGTGAGCCACTGTGCCTGGCCAGCAATCACTATCTGACTCCATAGTTTTATAACGATTCCTTTCCCCAAACCTCTCAAATGGCTAAGATTCCCTTTCGTGGGATTTTCCATCTCAGTTCACCGTGACTGACAGTTTTAACAACTGCACTGCACAGCAGATACCTACCCCAGGGATGGAGGCCTCATTGCTGGACGTGACAGTCATACAACTCAAAAAATCCCATCTAAAAATCTGCTTCCCATGACCTCTTCCAATACCAACTGCCTTCCCTCAGAACTCAGAGGTAGAGATTTCTGAAAAGGAGAAAAAGAGCAGAATTAGACAGAGGGAGAAGCTGACCTGTGATGCAGTGGCTATGAAGGCCCCAGCCAGTACAGCAGGGAGCGCTGGGGCTCAGATGGACCTTTGGAGCTGTTTCAAATCAAATAATCCTATTTGATTCACGAAACAACCTTACAAGGATGGCGCTATCATTACCCCTATTTATAGATGAGGAAACTGAGCTCAGAGAGATAAGTGACTTGGCCAAGATCACACAGCTTTAAGGGGTTGAGTGGGATTTCCACCAAGGTGTTTCACCCTCTAAAGATTCCTTCCAGGGTAGGTGTGGTGGCTCACGCCTGTAACCCCTGCACTCTGACGCAGGGATCCTTGAGGCCAGGAGTAAGACCAGTCTGGGTAACATAGGGAGATGCTCTCTCTACAAAATATTTTTAAAATTAGCTGGCTGTGGTGACATGCATCTATAGTCCCAGCTACTCGAGACACTGAGGCAGGAGGATCACTTGAGCCCAGAAATCAGAGGTTAAAATGAACTATGATTGCACCACTGTACTCCAGCCTGGGCAACAGTGCAAGACCCTATCTCGATTATAATAATAAAAATTTTAGGCCTGGCACATTGGCTCTTACCTGTAATTCCAGCACTTTGGGAAGCCGAGGCAGGCAGATCACAAGGTCATGAGTTCAAGACCAGCCTGACCAACATGGTGAAACCCCATCTCTACTAAAAATACAAAAATTAGCTGGGCGTGGTGGTGCACACCTGTAATCCCAGCTACTCAAGAGGTCGAGGCAGGAGAATTGCCTGAACCTGGGAGGCGGAGGTTGTAGTGAGCCGAGATCATGCCACTGCACTCCAGCCTGGGCAACAGTGAGACTCTGTATCATAAAATATTAATAATTTTAGTAAAATAACAAATAAAGCTTCCTTCGAAAGTGTCCTCCCCAGTCTCCTAGGGCCTCGGAGTTCTCTGTTGGATCCTCTTCATCCGGCTGGCAGAAAGCAGGGTGGCAGCAGATATGTTACATGGGAGGTGTCACAGGCCAGGTGTGAGCATGGCAGTCATCACATTCCACTGGCCAGAACTCAGCCACGTGGCCCCAAGCCATCCCTGTCTACAAGGGAGGTGGACAATGTCATCTAGCTGTGTGCCCAGGAGCAAAGGAGAAATGGTTTAGTACAGTCTCAGCCCCGCCCTGAGTTTGGGAACGCTGGGAGCCAGCAGAGCAGACCGAGCCCATCTGTTTCGTTTATTTGCTGTTTGTTCTTGGGCTGTGGGTGGAGGAATACCCACGGTGTGGTCCAGGAGCTAATTTAATTGGCAGCGAAAGGGAGTGAGTTGGGAGGTGCCCAAGGTTTCGGGTTCATCAGCTGGGCCCCAGGGCATATAAGGAGGAGCCATCTCTGAGGGACACTGGGCAGGAAATCCAGGGATCTGGGTGCACAGACAGACCTGGGAAGTGGAAGCTGCTGTTACTCCTCAGAAGAGAGCAGTGAGGCCGGACAGTGGGTCGGCAGGATTCACCTGCCCCTAGTGAGCCAGCTTGTCCTTAACAGCTCAGGAAAGGGGTCAGGGAACGTGCCCTGAGCTCCTACCTTCTTCTAGGAGTTCCTGTGAGGTATGTGGAGCCAGGCCTCAGTTCACCCCACTGTAGGCTCCATCCGAATTGTGGAAGCCAGGGCTTCGAGAGCAAGACAGCCATGCTCCCCTGCGGAACTCGGGTAGGAATGCAGTACTGATCTTCTCCCTGCCAGAGCCTCAAGGGCCTCCACCCTGGCTCTCCATCTCTCCGTGCATGAAGAATCATGATCCAATTTATTAAAGGCTCTGAAAAGTCCTGCAAACAGCAAACTTGTTTCTCTTGGTTTAAGAAGCATTTCCCAGCCTTATTTCAAAATGTCAAAATTGGAAAATACCATTAAGAGTTAAGAGAAGCCCAGGTGCAGTGGCTCACACCTGTAATCCCAGCATTTTGGGAGGCTGAGGTGGGCAGATCATTTGAGTTCAAGACCAGGCTGACCAACAAGGTAAAACTGCATCTATACTAAAAAATTCAAAACTTAGCCAGGTGTGGTGGCACAGGCCTATAATGCCAGCTGCTCAGGAGGCTGAGGCAGGAGAATCGCTTCAACTCGGGAGGTGGAGGTTGTGGTGAGCCAAGATCGTACCACTGTACTCCAGCCTGAGTGACAGAGCAAAACTCCATCTAAAAAAAAAGAGTTAAAAAAATGTAAGCCTGAATGCCTGCAAGCTCTGCCCCTTTGCCAGTCTGAGCCTCCAGGAGCTGCACGTAGTAAGAGGAACTTGCTGCCTCCTGGGAGTGGCTTAGGGGTTACACAGGATGCTGCGTGAGCTCCTGCCACTGAGCTGGTGGTTTAGAGAAAATAAACTCTTCTGCTTCCCCTATAAGACCTATATACCCAGGGAAGACCCCAACACACATCCATGTGATGTCATCAGAACTCTGCAAGAGACCACCTTCTGCGGATCAGGAGGTTCAAAGCCACCAACAGCAGAAAGGACCAACAGTGTTCAGAGGCGAGGCTGGAACGTCTCTCCTCCTCATTATCGTGAAGCCAAGTGCATCTGTCACTGGGCCCCAGCCCCAAGCCCTGTTAACCTGTTCCCATTTCCAGCCTCTCACCCACTTGCAAAGGCGCGGGCAGGATGCCTGATTCCCCTGGGCTCTCCTGGCTCAGGGCCCTGACCACGGCAGCCGCTGAGGATGGCCTGCTGACAGTTTGATTACCAGCGACCTTCGGAGTTGGTTTGCTTAGGAACATGATTTATAACCAAATTACAGGGAATTCTATTGCTGTAGGTCTGGGGGGCTGCAGCAGCCACCTTCCAAGGCAGTCTCTACGCCCCCAACTGGCTTTCACCAGCAAGGAACAGGTATATAAGGGGACCAGGAGAATCCAGACCAACTAGGGCTAAATCAGAACTCTTGTTCTTATTGGCTATAAGACTGGGCAAGGACCCCGGCTCCCCAGGCTCAGCTCCCCTGTTTGCAAACTGGGAATGCCGATATAGGCTGCCTCAAAGGGCCAGATGCACTCAAATGAGATAGTACTAGAAAGTGCTGGCATGCCGGGCACAGTGGCTCATGCCTGTAATCCCAGCACTTTGGGAGGCCAAGGCAGGCAGATCACAAGGTCAGTAGTTCAAGACCAGCCTGACCAACATGGTGAAATCCTGTCTCTATTAAAAATACAAAAATTAGCCAAGCGCAATAATATGCACCTGTAACCCCAGCTACTCAGGAGGCTGAGGCAGGAGAATCACTTGAACCCGGGAGGCAGAGGTTGCAGTGAGCCTAGATCCTGCCACTACACTCCAGCCGGGGCAACAAAGTGAAAGAAAGAAGAAAAAGAAAGAAAGGAAGGAAGGAGGGAGGGAAGGAGGGGGAGAGAGAGAGAAAGACAGACAGAAAGGAAGAAAAAGAAAGAGAAAGAAAAAGGAAGGAAGGAGAAAAGAAGTGCTGGCATGGTACCTGGCACGGAGTGAAGTGGCACCCACCTACTCAACCAGTGGGAATCATTACTACAGTAAGAGAAGCTGTGACAGGGACAGCCCACCTGCCCCACGCCAGAGTTCCTTGGAATCAGTCCTGCTCCCTCCTTGTCCTCCAGATGGTAACTGATGGACTTCTGGGAAAATAAACCAAAAAGGCCTTTGGCGGATTCCTCAAGCACAGAATCCATTCTGAGTGGTCAGGACCTGGCCAAACTGCTTGTGAGTTCCTTTTGAATGTCACTCCTGTCCTGACCTGGGGGGATAACGAGTCAGTCCTGTGAACACTGCAGTTAGGCGAGGCAGAGGGAATTTGCATCCTTCGTTCCTCTGGGCAGTTCCAGAGTTTGAGATTTTGTCTTAGGCCAAAGAAAACAAGCCCAGGCAGGTGCTGAAACAGGTCACTGTGATCCCAATAATTGTCCTTGCCGGGGATAAAAGGTCTTTTGAGCTAAGAGCAGCAGCAGCCCCAGGAGCTGAATAGGAAGGCTGTTGCATCTGACTGGAGAGCACTCCCGCACACAGCCTGCACATTCATCCACACACACCCCACCCACACCCATCCACACACAGCCCACATGTTCATACACACACACCACACACAGACACACCACACACCCACCACACACACCCATCCACACACCAGCCCACATGTTCATACACACACACACCACACACAAACCACACACCCACCACACACACCCATCCACACACAGCCCACATGGTCATACACACACACACCACACACAGACACACCACACACCCACCACACTCACCCATCCACACCCACCACACACACCCATCCACACACAGCCCACATGTTCATACACACACACCACACACAAATACACCACACACCCACCACACCCACCCATCCACACCCACCACACACAGCCCACATGTTCATACACACACATACCACACACAAACACACCACACACCCACCACACCCACCCATCCACACCCATCCACACACAGCCCACATGTTCATACACACACATACCACACACAAACACACCACACACCCACCCATCCACACCCATCCACACACAGCCCACATGTTCATACACACACATACCACACACAAACACACCACACACCCACCACACCCACCCATCCACACCCATCCACACACAGCCCACATGTTCATACACACACATACCACACACAAACACACCACACACCCACCACACACACCCATCCACACATACCCAACCACACACACCCATCCATACACAACCCACATGTTCATACACACACACACTAATACACCACACACCCATCCACACACCACACACCCATCCACACACAGCCCACACGTTGATACACACAAACACACCACACATCCATCCACACACACCACACACACACCACACACACCCAATCACATACACACCATACATACCCAGCAACACACACGTCCACACACACACACCACACTCATACACATGCATACTACACACATTCACAAACCACACGCACATCCACATACACACACCACACACATAACTCATCCAGACACACCCATCCATACACGCACCCATCACTCATCCATACATACCACACCCATCCACACACATCACACTCATACACACACATACACACACACCACACACACGTCACACACACCCATCTATGCATACACACCACACCCATACACACCCACCACACTCATACACACACACATCACACAGACCACACAGATCACACACACCCATCCATACACACATTCGTCCACATCCATCCACACACACACACCACACATACCCATCCACACACACCCATCCATACATACACACTATACACACCACTCACTCATACACACATACCACACACATACACACACACCCTTCCACACGCCACACACACACACACACACACACACACAAAACCATCCATACATCCACACACACCACACACCACAGCCATCCACACACACACCCATCCACACACATGCATGCACAGGGGGACACTGATTGGCCCAGGTTTTGCCCCCACACCCTCTTCTCAGAATCCTCCCATAACCTTCCCTCCTTGGGTCTCCCTCATGGGTCTTTGGAAGCCCAGATCTGGCTTGAAGCTGAGGGGCTCTGCTCCCTCTGAAAACCCCACAGAGAGTGAGCAGGATAACGGGTAGAGGGCCCCGCCAGCAGTGTGGCCAGGGGCCACCCACAGGTTGCCAACGCTACCTTCCCTCACCCACCCTGGGCTCAGCTGTTGAGAGACCTTTCACATTCACGACTGGCCTGATCCCTGCAGCAGCCCTGCCAGGGAGGTATCAGCTTCCGCTCACAGCAAGCCTCTTGAGGATCAGAAAGTGCAACCACCTCATTCAGGATCACCCAGCGGGTGGGCCTGGGGCTGCTACTCACATTTGCCCCACAAACTCCCCATCCAGTGCTCCTTCCAATCCTGACCATACACAGAGGGCCTGCGGAGACAGCTCCAGCAAAGTAGTCAAGCCCCGGGGAGAGATTGGGGCCATCACTTGCCCCAAGCCTTCAGGCAGCTTCGCCTCCCATATTATTTAAAATTTTCTTTGGAGACAGAGAAGGAGCCAGTGGAGACCAAGGATGAATGCCGGGTTTTCCCTCCAGAAAGATGAAGCTTCCAAAGGTCCTGAGTGAGTTCCAATTCCTCTCTGCTCTTCTTCCAGCATGCTGTCACTTTGCCTTCCAAGACTGAGTTTTCTCATCTGTAAAAAGGGATAATCTATAAAGAGTGACCAAAAAAAGACAACCAACCCTATTCAGGTTGGTGTGACGTGTAACTGAGCTATCAGCAGGTCAGCTGCAGAAGAGCTGCTCAAGAAATAAAAGCTGTTACTAAACACATTCACAGAAGAGGGTCATTGCAGGCTATCTACTTACACTTATCTTTTCTCAACCCGAAATGCAAGCATTCATTATCTGACACCAAACAAAAATTGGCTGGGCTTGGTGGTGGGCGCCTGTAATCACAGTTACTCCGGAGGCTGAGGTAGGAGAATCGCTTGAGCCTGGGAGTTGGAGGTTGCAGTGAGCTGAGATCGCACCATTGCACTCCAGCCTAGTAACAAGAGTGAGACTCTGTTATATAAAAATAAAGTAAAGCAAACCTGTAAATTCCATATGGAACCAGATAGGATATGTGTGCACATTCATTACCCATGTTGATTTCCCTTGAAATACGTTTTCTTGCCAAGCATGGTGGCACACACCTGTAATCCGGGCACTTTGAAAGGCCAAAGCTGGCAGATCCCGTAGCTCAGGAGTTTGAGAACAGCCTGGGCAACATGGTGAAACCCCATCTCTACCAAAAATTTAAAAAATTAGCTGGACATGGTGGTGCACACCTGTAGTCACAGCTACTTGGGAGGCTGAGGTGGGAGGATTGCTTGAGCCTGGGGGGCAGAGGTTGCAGTGAGCCAAGAGCGTGCCACTGCACTCCAGCCTGGGAGACAGAGCCAGACCCCGTCTCAAATAAAAAGGAAAATGTGGCCAGGCGCAGTGGCTCACACCTATAACCCCAGCACTTTGGGAGACCAAAGTGGGTGGATCACCTGAGGTCAGGAATTCAAGACCAGCCTGGCCAACATGGTGAAACCCCATCTCTACTGAAAATACAAAAATGAGCCAGATACGGTGGCACATGCCTGTAATCCCAGCTACTCTGGAGACTGAGACAGGAGAATCGCTTGAATCCAGGAGGCAGAGGTTGCAGTGAACCAAGATCGCGCCTTAAGCCTGGGAAACAGAGCGAGACTTTGTGTCAAAAAAAAAAAGAAATATGTTTTCTTTACTGTGAGTTCGATAATGACAGGCTGGCTGAGCGGTCCTTTTATTTCCCCTAACTGACCCTGGCACGCCTAGCTACAGCTGTCCCAGCCTCCTCTCCAGCCCCCAGCCCACCCTCACAGGCATTGGTGCCCTCCATTCCTGCCACGTGATTCCCGCTCCAGAAAGGATGAGGCCACTGGCTCTCACCCCAGAGTTTATGCAGAATCCCAACCTTGTCCCATGAAATCACATTAACAGCCTGTTTTGGGGCATTCCTTTGGGTCAGCCTCTTCTTTTTCTCTTCTTCCCCCTTTTCCTCTCCTTTCTCCTAATCCCAAAGAAGGTGTTCTTTCTTCTCACCCTACTCTTCGTCTGTTTCCTTTGCCAGCTCCTCTTTTGTTGCCAATCTTCTTCCCTACTCACCCCTCCCCAGGCTGACTCCTCAGCCCTCCACACACACTCAACGTTTTTTTGGTTTGTTTTGAGACAGAGTCTCGCTCTATCACCAGGCTGGAGTGCAATGGCTCGATCCCAGCTCACCGCAACTTCCGTTTTCCAGTTTGAAGCAATTCTCTGCCTCAGCCTCCTGAGTAGCTGGGACTACAGGCACACACTGCCATGCCTGGCTAATTTTTTTGTATTTTTTAGTAGAGACAGGGTTTCACCATGTTGGTCAGGGTGGTCTCGATCTCTTGACCTCATGATCTTCCCGCCTCAGCCTCTCAAAGTGCTGGGATTACAGGCGTGAGTCAATGCGCCCGGTACGCACTCAACGTTTTTATCTTTCAGAGACATCATCTGTCCACCCAGCTTTTTCAGCCTAGCAAAATCAAAATCAATCTCCATGTTAAAGTTACAAGGAAAGAGCTAGCTCCTGAGATTGGAAGTGACTTCACAAAACGCACACAGCAAATCGATGGCAAAACACAGCCACCCAGCAAGTCCACCCCCAGGTATGTACCCCAAAGAATTGTAAGCAGGGACTCAGTCAGATACTTGCGCGTGGGTACCAGCATAATAATGGCAGCATTACTCATTATAGCCAAAAGGTGGAAACGACAGATGACAAAATCTTATATCTCCATGCAGCGGAACATTATTCAGCCATGAAAGGGAATGAAGGCTGGGCGTGGTGGCTCACACTTATCATCTCAGTGCTTTGGGAGTCTAAGACAGGAGGATCACTTGAAGCCAGGAGTTCGAGACCAGCCTGGGCAACACAACAAGACTCCCATCTTTACAAAAATAAGAATTAAAAAATTAGCTGAGCATGGGGGCACACCTGTAGTCTTAGCTACTCGAGAGGCTGAGAGGGGAGGATCTCTGAAGCCCAGGAATTCAAGGCTGCCGTGAGCTGTGGTCCAGCCACTGCACCCCAGCCAGGGCAACAGAAAGCCCCGTCTATTTAAAAAAAAAAAGTGGTCGGGTGAGGTGGCTCACGCCTGTAATCCCAGCACTTTGGGAGGCCGAGGAGGGTGGATCACGAGGTCAGGAGTTTGAGGGCAGCCTGGCCCTATCTCTACTAAAAGTACAAAATTAGCCAGACACAGTGGTGTGCACCTGTAATCTCAGCTACCTGGGAGGCTGAGGCAGGAGAATCGCTTGAACCCCCTGGGTGGAGGTTGCTGTGAGCCGAGATCATGCCACTGCACTCCAGCCTGGGTGACAGAGTGAGACCCTGTCTAAAAAATAAAAGGTGGGGGCTTAAAATGGTAAATTTTATGCTATGTATATTTTCACAGTAAAATAAAATTAAATAGCTAGATGACGGCAATGCAGCTGCTGATCTGGTAGTTAGATCCCCGGCCACCTGCATCCCAGTCCAGAGCTCTGAAATGCACTCTCCAGTCACGTGTTGTTGACTCCCAATCCTCATGTCCAGCCCTCAGCAGCTACAGTCTCCCACTGAATCATCCACAAGCCCAACAACAACGACCATGTACTGAGCTCTTCCCCTGCTCTGGGCCAGATGCAGTGCTCACGGCATTCCATGCAACCTCTTGCTTAAACTCGGATGCCTCTCTGGCACAGCCCTGTCCTTAGCGCCTCTTGCTTGCTCAGTAGGCTCATGTCACCTTTCTTTTCAATGTCTGCCCTACTGGCTCCTTCCCTTTGCTGCCAACACCCACCCCCTCCGCCCCAGCTCACATGAATTCTGCTCCAGCCCCCGGGTTCCTTCTCCACCTCTGTCCGTCTCACTCTGGGCACCCTGATCAGACCAATCACCAAGTCTCAGAGCTGGACGGGACTTTTGCCAGTCACCCGTTTCCAATGTATAAATACTCTTCACACAATCTAACAACAGTGCCTGTGCTGTCTTTCAGCTAACACCCACCCAGGAACCTGCAACTGACCACTCTCCATGGCCTGCAGGCAAAGTCCAAGCTTCTTAGCATGATGTTTGAGGATCGGATGCCTGTCCATGCCTCCACCTGCCCTCCAGACAGATAACATGCCTTATTTCTGTGTTCCCAATATGTAGCCAGGGCTGGCATTTAACAACCAGCTCTGGGCCAGGCATGGTGGCTCACACCTGTAGTCCCAGCACTTTGGGAGGCCGAGGCAGGCAGATCACCTGAGTTCGGGAGTTCAAGACCAGCCTGACCAACATGGAGAAACCCTGTCCCTACTAAAAAAGTACAACATTAGCGGGGTGTGGTGGTATATGCCTGTAATCCCAGCTACTCAGGGGGCTGAGGCAGGAGAATCATTTGAACCCAGGAGGCGGAGGTTTCAGTGAGCCAAGATCGCACCATTGCACTCCAGTCTGGGCAACAAGAGGGAACTCCATCTCAAAAACAAAACTAACTCTGTTTTACTCAATAAGCAGTTATGGGCTGTTACTGATGGATATATTGTAGGAACAAAAAAGATACAGTCCCTGTCATCATAGAGCATTAAATTTTTTTTTTGAGACAGGGTCTTGCTCTATTGCCCAGACTGGAGTGCAGTGGCATGATCTTGGCTCACTGCAGCCTCCACCTCCCAGGTTCAAGCAATTCTCCCACCTCAGCCTCCCTAGTAGCTGGAATTACAGGCGTGAACCACCACACCCGACTAATTTTTGTATTTTTAGTAGAAACGGGGTTTCACCATGTTGGCCAGGCTGGTCTCAAACTTCTGACCTCAAGTGGTCCACCCTCCTCAGCCTCACAAAGTGCTGGGATTACAGGTGTGAGCCACCGCACCCAACCCATAGAGCATAAAATCCAACCAGAGGGACAGATCCACCAGCACAGAAATAGACTCCTAGATATGACAACCATTGATAAGTGCTAAGAAGAAAAAGATGGGGGTGTTACGAGAGAAATTAATGGGGAACCTATTTTGTGTAAATGTTTGATGAACTAATAACTCAAAGAATGAATTGGTTAAATCACTGGATCAACGAATGGTGAAGAACTCTGATTCATACAAGAACCAGATGCAAACATGGATGCTGGAGCCAGACTGCCTGGGTTCATATCCCGAATGTACCACACTGGCCGTGTGACCCTGGGTAAGTTACTTAACCTCTCGATGCCTAAATTGCCTTGCCGATAAAATGTGGGATAACAATAGTATCTCAACTCATAGATTATCAGTCAGTTTTTTAAATTGATAACAAACAATCTCAAAATCTCAGTGTCTTATAACCTCTATATTCATTTTCTCTCTCACGGATCTGTGGATCAGCTGTGCCTCTGCAGGACCTGGCCAGGATCCGACTGGGCCTGGTCCTGTCTTGGCTTCAGGCCACAGGCTGGGTTCAAGTCAACGCCACGTGTTTCCTTGTTCTCCTTGGACCAGTAGCTTCCCCGGCTCTCTCTTTCTCATGGGGAAATCACAGAATCCTCATAGGAGGGTGAGTCAAGTCTACCAAGCACATTAAAATCTTTGCGAGCATCATATCTCCTAACATATCATTGGCCAAAGCAAGTTGCACGGTCACAGCCAG